GAGTAGCCCCATCAAAAAGCTTTAGCATCTGGATGTACAGCATATACTCCTGTCTCTTATACACATCTAGATGTGTATAAGAGACAGGTCACATATTGTACAGGAAACCCGGTGAACGTACACTGATGTCTTCAACGGAGAATAATGCGAAGAGCAGTTCTCTCGGATGTTCACTATGCTGAATCACCCGGGTCTGAAAAATATAAAGTAAATTAATTTCCAGAACAGAATATAAAAACAAACATAAAATCTTCTTTATGGCATGCTGCACTTTAGAAAAGGTCCCGTCCATTCTTCCATGTCAGATCCAGGATCTGACGGTGTTCACGGCCGAGCACCTCCCCAACTGCTGCCGCTGTTGCCCATAGAAGATGGGGGAGCCAACTCGATGTCCCGCTGGTGCGAAGTGTGGTCCATCGGATTCCAGCAGCAACCGCCTGTCATCCATGGCTTCGATGTGCCTGCATGCCTGGCGTTGTTGGTTGTTGAACCCACTCACGGCCAACGAAAAGCTGAAAAGCGTGGCGGGAAAATGATGACGGAAGGCATCGGCAATGGCAACGGTGGAGGTGTAGTTGTGCAGCAGCAAGCGTTGCTCCCGAGGGACGCGGGACAGCCGTAGAATATCCAAAGCCCGAGAGTAACACTCCTCCGCCGTGGAATCACCGGCCATACCACGTAGGTGCAAGCACACTACCCGGTGCTGGTGATGGGCATAGCACGGGTGCTGCTGAGCCCTGGGAAGAATGTGGCGTCCCACGTGATTGTGGAAGCGCCCTTCTCTTGGGCTTTAACTCTTTTCTCGACTCCTCCTGACGAACCCTCTTTCCACGGGGTTGAGGGGGTTGAATAGCGTGTTGAACGGTAACCTTTCCAGTGACCTCCCCCTTCGCTCGCTGAAAGATAGTCCGGAGGACACCCGGCTCGACGCGGACGGCAATAGCCGCCAAACATCGCCAGTGGATCAGTGATGCAGGGTGATTAGCAGGATTAACTGTAAACACCCCTGGCTCTTCTCCACCCATCTCCGCACAAATCATTTGCATAGCTCGGTAGGTGCGATGATCTATGGCAAACTTAACCCCTGACTCTCCCATCCCTCTTTCTCGGTTGAGGCGAATCATGAGTTCGTGTAAGGTGGCTCCTTCACCTATACACGCTACAGCCAGTTGTCTCAAAACTGTCGTTGGGCTTGGCGTCGGGAACTACGACCCAAGGGTTTCAGATTTTGTGGTACATGTTTGCCCATAACATGCACCCTCATATTGACGACCCTCTTAATATTACACCCCGGCCAAACGCAAGCATTCTCCGGAGGCA